ATTGTTTCCCGGAATCGATGGTACACTGAGTGGGCATCGCGAAATCGTGGATGTGGTGTGCCGAGCGCGGAAAATTTTTTTTGGGCAAACTTGGAACGGACGCGGCTGAAATTACATCACTGGTTCAGTTGTTGGAGCATCGCGATTCCACTCGTTGAGTTTCGGGACATTAATTCCTAGGCAGTGTGTTCCTAAAAATCACTACCGCCATCTCACACGTGCAGCCAGCGAAATAAGTTCTGACACAGAGAATCACTGACCACACTGTATCACTTGATTCATTTGTTGTACATACACTGTATATTAAAGCAAATCAGCAACGCTTTCCTGTTAGCCTTTGCTGTATCCATCCATGGCTTTCCTGTTATTCAAAAATATGCTGGCCATCAATGTGTTCTCACATGTCCAGCCGTGTGTATGTTGTTTGTCACGTGACAATAAAACTGATTTTGTTTAGTCCACATTGATGGAATGTATAAAATAACACGAAGAACAAATAATAATGTTTTTGTTTGTTTGTTCAAAAGCTGAGACCATGAACTTGTGGCATTTCTAAGACACGGTTTAATCACCGTTGGCCGAAACCCAGAATTTGAACCCAGGATCTCAGCAGTACCGGCTAAACTCTCTGGCCGAGCGTAAATTATGGACATCTGTAAAGAGATGTATAGCTAATCGGATTCCTACAATATAAATACGTAATTCGGATGATAAATTCCCGTCGTCACTCAGCCACCTCAACGACAAAAAAACTCCACGATTTAAGGTAAGTAAACCTATTTGTAAATAAATACTGAAAAATTAATCTGGGTTCCTATTTTGAATCAACATTATTAATCTGATAACTCAACGAGCTAATCGGCTCCACCTTTTTAGGCCATTCGATTCTATTCTTGAGCGTAACGGCAGCAGCGTCATGTTCACGATCTCGAGGTCTGCTGCTGCTGCTGCTGCTACTGGCCACGACGAGAGAGGGCTTCAGCAGAGAGAGAGAGAGAGTTCGTGTCGGGTCAGAGGCGTAGCTAGGGGGGGGCAGGAGGGTACATGTGTCCCCGGGCGCCAAGGTAAAGGGGCGCCAAAATTAGGCTTACAACATTACATTATAACTTATTGCGGCGGGCGCGGCAGCCTGAAACGACTGCACAAATCTACACCTCAACCTAAAAGTGTATATATCCCGCCACACACAGCCTACATGTCATGTAATTACATTTTGGTATGTGATTAAACGGGGGGGGGGGGGGGGGGGGGGGCGCCAATTTTATAGTTCGTCCCCGGGCGCAAAATATCCTAGCTACGCCACTGTGTCGCGGCGCTGTTCCTCCACCTGCTCTTCTGATGTTGTCGAAGCACAGACCACAGTCGGTTTACGATACGGTCCACAGGTTGGGATGCATGGATAACGATGCGGATAGATTTTTCGATTTAAAGCTTTCGTGACTGCAGGGATTCATCTTCTTGTTTCTTTCGGTAAAGTCACGTAGAAGGGAAGTAATAAAATAATAAAAATAAAACATAATAAAACAATTCTCACGACGTTTCGGCTACAACGCAAGCAGCCGTCTTCAGGTGAAGAATGAGACACTACCAAACTAGGAGCTTATATATAAGCTGCATTGGGGGTTGAAGAGCGCCTTAACAAAAAGAATGTGCATGTGAAGAGGGATTTAGCATATTCATGGGAAATGCGTAGGCGTTGGGCGGGGGGGTGTCAAAGTCATATTATGCCCATGCATTATGCAGGATCAGCAGCAACCAAGGGGGGTGCAGGGATTAGCAGTAACAAAGGAAAGGAATGTTAATGATATGTAGCTGCAGTTACTCAACAACTACGTAGAAAACTAAAGTATAAACTACATAAAAAACTAAAGTATAAACTGCATCGCACCATCAGTATACTTACTATACTCTATAATAAGCTGAGTTACTAACAGCAAGTAATACATTACAATTTTACCTCGTAAAAATTCTATAATATGCTTCCATCTAAACCTTATTCTCTTACATCACACGAGCATATACCGTACTATATACTGCCATAGATAAACCCAACATTAAATTATACAGCAATACAGTATATAACTTAATGTTGGGTTTATCTATGGCAGTATATAGTACGGTATATGCTCGTGTGATGTAAGAGAATAAGGTTTAGATGGAAGCATATTATAGAATTTTTACGAGGTAAAATTGTAATGTATTACTTGCTGTTAGTAACTCAGCTTATTATAGAGTATAGTAAGTATACTGATGGTGCGATGCAGTTTATACTTTAGTTTTTTATGTAGTTTATACTTTAGTTTTCTACGTGGTTGTTGAGTAACTGCAGCTACATATCATTAACATTCCTTTCCTTTGTTACTGCTAATCCCTGCACCCCCCTTGGTTGCTGCTGATCCTGCATAATGCATGGGCATAATATGACTTTGACACCCCCCCGCCCAACGCCTACGCATTTTCCATGAATATGCTAAATCCCTCTTCACATGCACATTCTTTTTGTTAAGGCGCTCTTCAACCCCCAATGCAGCTTATATATAAGCTCCTAGTTTGGTAGTGTCTCATTCTTCACCTGAAGACGGCTGCTTGCGTTGTAGCCGAAACGTCGTGAGAATTGTTTTATTATGTTTTATTTTTATTATTTTATTACTTCCCTTCTACGTGACTTTACCGAAAGAAACAAGAAGATGCGGATAGAATTTAAAAATGTTTTCCATTTTCCTTTACAAAGTATTATTTACCAAAACGTATTGACCCACCACTGAACAGTATAAACTGTCCAGCCTCCTCTCGTTATAAACATGGAGAACATTTCACTGCTATGAATGTGTTTACTATTCACCAACACGGAAAAAAGAAATGACTTGAATATAAAATTCACTGGGGGCGATGGGGATGAATCGTATCAGCCCTGCAAGTCAATAACATTGATGTTTTTCGAACGAGAATAACCGATCCCGACCATAAAAATGTGGAACGGTGATATCCAATCCGGACACGTTCATGTGGACACTGCCGATGCTACACGGAAGACAAAGATCCCCCGTGTAGCCTTCACAGACTTTTGGGGCAAGTGCTGTGAGCGAACACCTTTGAAGGCCGGGCACGGTACTCGAGCGGGGGTGGGTGACCAACACCACGCCCGACCGCCTTTGTCTCCCCCAGTGACGACCTTTACACACCACACCAGATACTCGAGGCTGGTGTTGGCCGCGAGCGGGATATCGAACTCGGGTCGCTGGGTGCGTCGTGCAGCACGCTAACCACTGCGCCACCGCTCCACACGCGATGCGCACACGAGCGTGCTGGCGACGTCACGACCCATCAATTCCACAACGCTGCAAAATGTTCTGCCGGCGACACCGATATCAACTGGAGCAACCGCCCAATGTCAATTTTTTGGGGGGGGTTTTTCTCCACCACCCCACCTCCCCCCACCACGGCTGATAGGCATCGAGAGGGCGGCTGTTATTTCCAACTGGCGACAACGGCGACGACGTCACCTCATCGAAGGGGAACGTGAGCCAAGCTCGACGGAGTTCAACGTCGAAAATAACGTCAACAGCGACCGTCAGGGCAAGGGCAAAGGAGGCGCCAACGTTCGTCAGAGATGGCGTGGGTGGAGGTGGGGGTGGGGATTGGGAGCGGATGAGATGATTTTATTTTGGTTGGAGGATGTAAGGTCCATGCTATTGCACAGCGTAGGCGCCGTTTTTAAATATTCGCGCGCAGCAAATTTTTGTTCGTCGTCATTTGAATGCCAGGGTGGCAATGGCCGTGTCATTGCATGGCCACGACCAACACGGACGCCACCCCCCCAACCCCCATTAATCAAAGTAATTAATCGGCGATGCCGCGTTGCTAGCGGTGTACAAGGCACCGTCAACAATAACTCATGTTACACTGGTCTCTAACATTTAAAACCTAAAGTGGCATTCTGGGCAACTGCCCTTCTTCATAGCAGATGCCAGAGATGAAATTAAGTTGGACTACACTGTACACCATGGAGCCCCTGATAGACATTTAATACAAGTTTACGTGTAGTGTAGCATTTCGTAGTCTATGCAACCCATACTTTTTGGTTCTTTCGGTAAAGTCACGTAGAAAAATATTTGTATTATTTATTTTAATTCTACCCGACTTAACCGAAAGAACCAAAAAGTAAATTCCTGCAGTCACGAAAGCTCCAAATCAAGTATATACAAATAATGTTGGTTTAGGGCTTGGACCACGTGGTGAGTGTAAATTTGTCATCAACTCTCCACCACCTGACAAGATTACCATTCAGACCTCCATCGTTCACATTTCTACCAATAACGCACCTCGGCAGTGGTTCAAGGCTTTTCACGGCCAAATTAAATGTTGACATTTCTCGAAAATTGCTTTCAACTTCATCCAGGTAGCACAAACGCCGAAATTCTTGATCGTGCCGTGCCCAGGTATTGGTTGCGACACCAGCCAAATGTACCGATCAGGACGTCTACGCCAAAGGATGCTCTTAAAGTTCAGCTTCAGCTGTCAAAAAACTGTTACGGTATGGCGGTGGTTGGAGCCAGTGTGTTTATAATTTATTCGAATAAGGTTACATGGGTGCCAAGTAGCTCTTGGGTGATGTTACACCACGCACCATTTACAAGTATCCACTCCGATGTCGTTCCTGAGTCAGTTAACGGCTTTAAAAAGGGACGACCACTTCCTATTTGCAGGAAGCTCAGTTGAAGTTAACTGTGCCAATTGAACATGCAGATTACAAGGTTGGGCAGTAGGTCAGGCGTTCATAGATGCGAAGGCGACACTCATCACCTCTTAAAACCTCAAAAAGCCACTCGAGGGAAAGCATTGATTATCCACCTATTTCGATTGAAAGCTTTCGTGACTGCAGCGATTCATCTTGGTTATTTCGTTAAAGTCACGTAGAAGGGAAAGAATAAAATAACTTCATTGTATAATTGTCATTATTAATTATTACTTTATTATGTTTTATTTTTATTTTTTCCCTTCTACGTGACTTTACCGAAAGAACCAAGAAGATTATCCACCTAGATCAGTTCAGTTATCCCACAACCCATTGCCAGGATCCCCACGATTGAAGCAGCACCACATGTCACCAGAAGGGATTAAGGTCCACAGCATCTTTATTTTTCACATCATAATCATGTACAAGCCGTGAATCAAATCTCGTGTATTATTTCAAATGCACGCCGCAAACGGTGGCCGTGCCGTATTCACCACCGCGACACCATCGCCCCACGTTCAGCCGCGTATGGCCTCTGCCCTCCTCCACGTGCCCTGGCGGCCATGGCGCAGCAGCTTGGCCACCAACGCCACAGCGATGGAGAGGGCGAGGAGGGAGCAGGTGGCAGCCACGAGCCACACGAACCATGTGGGCCACACGCCACCTTCTGGGAGAGGAGAAGACAAAGAACCCGGTACACCACATCGAGAACGCGGCTCGCTTTAACTAGCGATGCAGCGTCAATTTTTTTTTTATAAAGCGGAGAAATAAACCATTGGAATTTCTGTACAACCGCCCCCCCCCTCCGGTAAGATTAAAATAAAATGGGTTGGAGATCTATCAAAATCACTGCCACACAAAAACCACCACACTTCATTTTAGCAGCTCCTTGTTAGATCACACCCACGCTAAATCCTAAGGGTACCAGACACGCACCTGCAGAGCTTGACAGATCAGACTTTGTATGAACGTCATCCGATAATGTAATGGGGCCGGGCAGGCTGGCAATGTGCGTCAGGTCGTCCGTGGCAGCACGTTTCACATCTTCACCTGGGGAGACGTTGGGGGAAATAAGTACAATTTAATGGTCGATTTAAAGTTTGTGACTGCAGGGATTCAGATTCTTGGTTCTTTCGGTAAATGTCACGTGGAAGGGAAATAATACAATTATAAAACAATAAAAATTCACGATGTTTCGACTGCAATACAAGCAATCATCGTGCGAAATCCACAGCAAGAAAATTCGGTAGATCACTTCTAGGCGACTTTACCGAAAGAACGAAGAATGTTTAAACCTATACACCAACCATTGATTATTGCATTTCACCACCCGCTCCCCCCCCTTGGCTGCTGGCAACATTGGAGTGCCTCTAAAAGTGGCACGAGAATCTTCGTGTAACAAAGCATTGGAATCCGAGGTCTTGGAAAGAACTGCTTATTTGGGGTCAATAAGAACCTAGTTTATAGAGATTTATCATGCAAGCGATTTAGTTGCAGCATCTGTGATGAGTTAGGGTTCCTTGGGATAAAGCGGCAAGGGTACAAAAGCGCACATTTTAAGTGTAGTGATAATTTACCAGCGTTCTGAAAACTCACTGTTGATGGAAGGCCCCTGCCTAGGCATGCATCTACAAGAACTCTACTTTTGGGTTAAATCTTCTTTTAACAAAATGGGTTGTGCAAATAATGGCACAGCGCTTTCATTAGCCGCTTGCAGAAAAGTTGAAAAATTGCAAGTCGTGAATAAATGGGCGAGCCGGGTGAAAAGACGAAAACGTTTCACTGCCGAGGGCAACTCACGGGCGCGGCGCGTTGACGGGGAGCAGCTGCTTGGTCCGCACTGCGGCAGATCGGCCGAGTTGGAGTCGCACACCGTGGCGCTGCAGTGGAAGTAGAGCTGAGAGCGACAAGGAGGATAAATGATGCACATGCAGGCGTACGTAACACCTTTGCAAGAGATGGTCTTTGGGATAAAGTGTATTAGCAGTATGAAAGCCAACTGCTGTTGCACTGAAGAAGTTCTAAAATTTGGAATGGTCCTTGTGCCAACTTGGGTATAGGTACGGGGGAACCATTCAGTGCGAGCAGTTCTGTAGGGCAAGTCCAATAAAAACTACAACGCCATGTTAAAGTTGATTTATATTGGGTAGTCTTTGCGAGCATTGCTGCCCCCCCCCCCCCACCATCACGTTAGGAGGGCACACATTCCACACAACTGTCATGAGTGGCATGCATCAAGGGCCGTACCGTATCGCGCAGGGCTCCAAGTGGCGCTGGGTCGGCGAACACGAAGGTCTTCACCTCGAAGCGCTTGAACCTCAGGGGCAGCGGCACCGAGGCGGGGCTCACGGCGTGGACGGTGGTCAGGTAGTTGTCGCCGGAGAACGGGCACCTGCCCCGCGGCCGAGAGGAGAGGCACTCAGCCAGAGGGACACGCGTGGGGCATCGAATAAACAGGGACCAAGACGCGATGGATGTATTGCGAGCACGATGCCACTTCGAATAGAAACCATTTGAGCGGATATCATGCCACGCAGTCGTTTAAGCCACTGACAGATTAAACCCTCCTGTTGGACATTGAATATTTGCCTGCCCATATTTCACTGGTCCGTGCATATGGTGAACGCAGAGGGTCCAGGACCAGATGGCGCGACACATTCCGTATGAGATATCACAGCAGCAACAGGCGCATGCTCGATACTCTACGCATCGTGTACGAGAGCAGCAATCGCACACGCGTGGCAAGCCGTATAGCAGCAGTAGCCGCCTGCGTTCACAAGGGGGCAGCGCACCCGGACACGAGCAGGTCCCACTGGGGCAGCGAGTTGGGGTCGGGCTGAGTGGTGGCCCAGCAGTCGGCGAGACGCAGCTCCAGCACGGGGTCGGGGTGCGCCAAGAGCTGCACCTGCACGCGGGGCGAGACAGTTGCATTGTGGGTCAAGAGAGGGCCCAAGATGTCTGTAGTCATCGTTGAGATGGCGGCCTTCTGGGTTCGTGTGGAGAATGGTCATGGGGCTCAGCCAAGTGACCAGTTTGTTACAAATTATTATGGAACTTGCCGAATCACTGCGAAAACACTTGGTCAAATTAAATTTAGAAAAATCTATGCAAGTCGACTATAAACGTTACAAATAAATTTCCATTGCAAAAAAACTAAAGAATGTTGCGCCCATTACAACAGGAGGTTGCACTGCTCGTTGCATTGGTCATGCGACACGTGGCAGGCAAATGAACATTTTAAGAGAGCCATAAAATGGATCAACAGGCCAGGCTGTATTGACACAAGTGGCAATATAAACACCCCATTACGCAGGATTAGAAGTTCTAAACAAGCAACCTTGGTTCCATGCGAGGCATCACGATTTAGATCTTGAGGCAGGGGGTCATTACCTGGACGAACAGCGGCTCCCTCAGGAAGCGCACGAGTGGGTAGTCAGCGGCGACATAGGGAGCGACGTAGTCAACATCTGGGAGGGGAAAGGAAAAGTCAACAGCATGGAAAATTTGCCCAACCAAGTAGCAACCTTCAAAATGTTATGGTGGTTGCTCGAACCGATGCCTGGACGTTACGTTGGGGGATCGCCTGAAAATTGGTTCAGAACAAGCTACAAATTTAAGATTTCTCAATACTGCACCAGCTGCCCATGCATCTAGAACGTCCTATGGAATGGTGCACAGTAAACAAAAGCCGTGATCGTAGCAGTCACTCGATGCACACCTCATTACTGCCTAGGCCCTGGTGTAGATGGGGGAAGAGGCCATAGAATGAATGTGGAGCATGTAGTGGTGGCGAGGATCGTGGAGGGGGCTCACCAGGGAACATGGTGAGCTCAATGACCAGGGGCCCGGTGCCGTTCGCAGGGCTGGGTGGAGACAGCGTGGGAACAGTCACGCCCAGCATCAGCAAGTCGTCCCCAGAGAACTCGCAGGTGATCTTCATTCTGGAGGGGGAGCAGAAAGTGGCATTAAAGTTTGGTTTGACGCAGATTATTTATCCGACAGTCTCGTGTAGACACGTTGAGGGGGCCATCACACCAGCGTGTCAAAATGAGTCTTCTACCAAAACTGTCCAATAACACTTTTCAAAATGTGAAAACCAGGCATTGCCACCACGTGGTTCTCGCAGCGTGTAAACAAGGGCAGCAGCGGGCACCTGTACTCGCTGCTGCGGGAGATGATCACGTGGATGGAGTCGCGCATCAGAGACACGGCCTCGTTCTCGTACACCAGCTTGCCGTCCACCATCTGGAAAACCGCACGTGCACTGCCCTGTCAAACACTTGCTGTACTGCTTCTTGCAGTCAAGCACCCTGCATGTACGAGTTGTGACGATTTGCATAATCCGAACGTCACATGGAGTGGTTAAACACTGTCATCTGTAGCTGCCATCTTATAACCACAAGGGGGAGTGAATGGCGAGGCAATGTCCAGAGCAGTTGGCAAAAGTAAAACTAAATCCTATTGCATCATTAGGGTTCCATAATTTGGCTACGAAATCTGGTACTACAGCCGTTTGTAAGAGATAGATCGCCACTTATCCCACCATCTGCCAAAGAGCGCACCACAGGCATAGCAAACAAAGCACAGAAAGTGTCAGACACCGCGTGCTCCCACCTCGTGAGTGGTGCCGCACTCGTCCAGTGGGACAACAAACACGGCCTTCTCGGCCGTCACCTCGACGGGCAGGCAGGAGGGGTCGCGCACGTGCACGGTGGCCAGGTCCAGTGGGGGCCGCGTGCTGCTCGCGTAGACCTCGAACGTCATCTGCCCGTCCGTCGAGCATTCTGCCGCCACGTAGAGCACAGAAGCAGGAGGCGGTGGGACCAGGATTAGAAACTGTACATGGGCCGGAATGTTTATGTTCATCAAATCAGTCTCGACCCAACGAGTTCAGTAAAAGCTGGCAAAAACGAGCAGAGTTTTCTTCCCACTGCTGTCCAAGAGGACGCGTCAAGGCCCAGAAGTGGAGGGAAGTGCCCCAAATCATGCCACGGTTTGGTGCACGCAGACAGCGCTGAAGCGCGTACGCTGGAGCACGCCGGACGCGACGGCTCGTGGGGGCCACTCGCCTGCGGTGTTGGAGGTGCACACCAGGCTGTACTCCTCCACGGCCCCAAGGTCGTTCCTCAGCGTGAGCAGTAGCGACCACTCCGTCGAGCCGTCCGGCAGAGTCTGATGTCAATTCCAGGACGATTAACGGCATTGTTAATTTTTTTATAAAATAGCCGAGATCTTGGTTGATACAGTCAAGCTTTGCTACATGGGTGCTGCTGGAAGGTTAAGTTGACGAACAAAATCTAGTTTAACGTATTAAAAAAAGTTCCAGTTGATTAAAGGTAAAGACACATTTAAGAAATGTAAAAAAAATTGGACGAAAGAAAAATCTAGTTGATCTGCACAAGGGAAGCTGAAAAAGGTCGTGTTTTTAACTGCCGTGCGTGAATAAAGAAGAGACAAGTCAGCCTGGTAGACAACCAGGAGCAGAGGCCATGGTAGGCATTAGCAATTGAAAAGTAGATGGCAATTGATTGCCGGCGGATGTGCTGATCAAGCGTTTGACCGCTTTGGCTATAGGAGATGCCATGGCGGGCATACATCGAAGGTGGCAGGGAATGAGGGTCATGTCAGAAGTCACCTTGACCACCACGTCGAGCGCCGTGAAGTCGACCTGCAGGCGCAGCTCCGAGGTGGAGTTGGTCAGGCTGTAGCCTTGGTCGAGCAGCTGCGTCACGGGAACTTCCGACACTAACAGCGTGAAGTCTCGCACCTCGGCGAGCTGCAGCGTGATGGCGAACCACGACGGCCCGCACGACACCACGCCGGATGCTGATGCATGCGACTACGTACACAGGTTACGGTCAGTCAGACTACTAAAAAAATTAACCCGTAAAAACAAAGTTTTTCACTATAAATCCTTTATGCGTGGCGGCTAGAGTCCTCTCGTCCTTGGGCTTGAGATGGCTGCCACACCTATGGGTCAGATGATTGCATTGCACCATTAAGCAATTGGTAATTAAATATATTTGTCCTAAAAAGTGTAAAATTTTGGAAAAAATTTTCACGAACATTGTCACGCACAACGAGTCTGGAAAATGTCAGCTCGATTGGATCACGGGAAATGGGTTAAAAAACGACCGAAAGGTTTGCACGGTCGTAAGCAAGCGAACTTAATATAAAGGATTTAAAAATAATGCTCCGTCCCTTTATACCAAATGGGTCACGGCATTGAACAAAAAGTACAGACCAAACCCTCACCTGGGAGAAGCTAACGCATAAGACTTGTAAAACATGAACCGTGCGGATTGGAGAAAACGTAGATTACAAACATCCGAAAAACGTGCATGCTGTAGACTTTAAAGCAAGTGACCATCGACAACATTAGACGCAGCACGTGCCGAGAGGACTCACGCGTGTAGGGCATGTGGCACGCAGCCTCCACGCTGTAGTCGTGGCGGAGCCCCAAGCCGTCAACCACCACGATGTGGAACAGCGCAGAGTAGAGGCGGCGGCCAGGTTCCTGAGACTGCCAGTGTCACGCAATGCAAAGAGCGAAAAAGGCGAATTCAGAAAGTTACAGTTTTCCATACAGCCGAGCGCAATGGTTCTTGTGCTTTTCTGCAGCCTGCACCCCCCCCCCTTCCCCCCCCCCCCCCCGTTGGTTCTCAGAAGGGGGTACACGGATTACCCTAGAATGTGCGTGCACTCTAGGTTAAGAACCACTTTGCCTAGAGGCTATTGATAGTGGACGTGTCGGCCGAGGCATGCATGAACTTTTGCTGCCAAAATTGGAGGCGCGCTAAAACCCGGACGAGCAGTGCCACGCACCTGCACTACAACGCCAGGTGCGGTGCGGTAGGCGGACACGGCAACGTAGTAGGAGCCGTTGGGCATCAGCTTGACTCCGGAGTCGTAGAGAGTAGAGTCCACGGTGGTGGAGGTCAGCAGGGACACGGTCCCAACAGTCAGCACCTCGATGGCCGGCGGGGAGCCGTACAGGGGCCCGAACACGGCGAGCAAGAAGCTGCCGTTGCAGACGGCTGCGCGCAGAAAAGCGGGTCACAAGCCACAGGCTATAAAAAATGGAGACAATTAGAGCTAGTGCTGTTACAACAGGAGCATCCATTGAAAAAAAATCGGGGAAGACCGACGCAGGTTAGGTTTCGTGAAGATTTGGAAACAGACGATGTATTTTGTGTTAGGGCAATGGTAAAATTCCAGCCATACCCTGGCACTGCCAGCTATGCGACTTTGGTATTGATGCAGTGTACCGCAAGCTGTATTGTACATGGTTAAATGCAAAGGATGTACCAACCTGTCTCACCAACATTAAAAAGACAATTGTTGGGAAGATGGATCTTGGTCAATATTCACTACAGGATTTAGCATAATGGGCATCTTGTTTAGTCATTGGTGACCAGACCGAGTCAAAAAACGCACATCATTTGGGAATCCAGGAATAAAATAACTCTGATGCCACCTTAGCACTTGACCTCCAGGGACAACCACCAATTTACCAGATCTAAGTGCACGCTCACATCTGGTGTCAAAAACCTCAGCTCTGGGTGCCCACATGACCCGTCCTACGATGCTCACCGGCGAAATTCCACTCACCGCTGATGTCGTCCTGCACGGCGACGCACGGACAGCGCAGCAGCAGTGGGAAGGTGAGCGGCCGCGAGGCGTGCGTGAAGGTCATGGACATGTTGGCAAAGTGACGCACGCCGCTTGACTGGCCCATGGGACACGCCTGGTCCAGGCGAGGGAAGGAGCAGCCACGGGCAGCAGAGAGGGAGGGAATGGGGAGGCGACGGACGGTGGACCGGCAATGAGCATAGCTGGCTACAACCACCTGCATGGTGCAGCGTTTATTTGAAGATACGTTGGCATTAGGGATTTCATTTAAAAAAAAGGTGCAGGGCGGACCACGTGAATGGCCCAGGACCAGTTCAGAGACCCACGTCATATTAGCCATGGCTGGGAACGAAATCGCAGGCAGCCTGGTGCGCCAACCACTACCACGTTCGAATCCAGTCTCCCCCCCACCCCTCCACACACGAGCCCACCGCTCCAGCACCTCCTCACTCACCTCCACGTTGAGGAGCGGCGACGTGCGCTGCAGCGAGAGCACGAACCCCCAGCGGCCGCCGCTGCCCTCCAGCCGCACCTCGACCCCCGGCACGGAGGGCAGGTCCGGGTACACCAGGGTGGTGCCCACCTTCACCGCAGTCAGGGGGCCGGGCAGCGGAGGCACCGTCACCACCAGGCTCGTGTCGTTGCACTGCAGGTAGTCTGGACAGGGAGCGGAAGCACGGGAAAAAAGGCGAATAAGGTTTGACATTTTAAAAAGGCGAGATATCAGGAAGCACAATTGTAAGGTGTGACGATAACAGTGAATGGGATCGGATGGTGTCGTCTTGCAGCAGTATCGGGCAAGCGAACCATCGTCAATTACTTTATTAAATCGGAGCAGTGTCCCAGCCTCTGGAAACGTTTGTGAAATTAAATGCGTTTAAAATTCTGCTTCGGTGTAGAATAAGCGAATTGAAAGTATCGGCCACAAAGATTTTACGGCTGCACCGTTTCAAGGTCGCTTTTGAGCCATGTTCATTCACACCACACCACGAGGACGGCGTTACAAGTACACGCAAGCATGGGGGGGGGGGGGGGGGCTCACTTGGTACCAGGCACAGCATGGGGGTGAGGAAGTAGATGACCGTGGTGGTGGGGCCATAGCGCATCCGCAGGTCCAGGAAGTAGAGGGAAGTGTTGTCGAACTGCACCGCACGGAGGCCACGCAACGACCGCACCACAAATCATTCTCACGCTCGCGATGGAAGGTCACAGCAAGTTGTGCGCATTCAAGAACACATTTAAGCAAAACCTCGCAAAGCCAGGCTTTTCGCAAGCCAGACGCAGTGTCCGAAATAAAGTCAAAGTCTCACCCGAAAACATTCCTAATATTAAAAAAAAAGTCGACCTACGCAGTAGCAGACGACCTCAAATCCACAAGCAAACTCAAAGCCCAGACACTGCCTGGTCCGTGTCTCTGGAGAGCGAGGTCACGAGATGGCAGCAAGGGTGGCCTCACCTGGGAGTAGAACACGCCGCTGGCCGTGTACAGCGCCATCACCGACAGGGTCAGTTGCTGGGACTCGAACGTGTAGCCGGCCTGGCTCGCATCTGCCACGGGAATGCTCCACTGCGCCGTGCCGTTGTCAATGTCCAGGTACCACGACATGGGTTCCTTGGCGTGTAGCTGTGCGCGAAGGAGGGGGGGGGGGGGGGGGGAAGCGAGGTGGGTGTGCTAAACTTTTCGCAGCATACATAACCAACCATGCTAAAATTAGAGTTGGTGGTGGCTTCTGCATGCTCTGGCGGGATAGGGTTTAAGGCTCAGATCAATCTTTAACCAATTACCCTTTGGAGATGGGCATTCCTTCAGCAAGCTCCGTGGGTCTAAGGAGTTGGGATAATCTTCTTGTCAAAATTAAGTTGCCGTAATATTTCAAAGTCTCAAACAACGCAGTCAATTTCTCTGCTCCCGCCCCCCCCCCCCCCCAAAAAAAACCCACCACATGCTACCACATGGCAACGACGTGATTAAGCACTACCCACCACCTTACATCAAGGCCGACCGACTTGATGACGCTTTAGCACCCACCCCTCAATATTAGCAGAGACATTGAACCGACGATTAGTACAGTAAAGATCACACAAACTGGTATTCTAGCTTTTAGTCCGGAGCAGACGGTCTGGATTTTAACGGGGGGGGGGGGGGCGCGGGGGGGGGGGGCCCCATTGATATGAAGTCGGCCTCACAAATGATGATTGACATTGTTTGTCGCCGGTTTAGATATTGTACAAGCACTGCTGCATGTAATCTATTTTAGTGCGGAACGATGGGCCGAGCGAGAATCATGCAACAGCGTGCTCTCCAACGTGACGTGTGCGCAGTGTTTTAACCAGTCGACGATGTTAAGAGTTGTGAGGATGCGTTTAGTTACCACACCAAGAGCAGAGAAGTCTGGTAGAATCCTTGAAACGGCCACCTTAAAAAAAAGGCACAAAACTGTTAAAGGCGACCACCACCATTCGTTGTGCTTGCTAACAGCATGGCACCACTATAGGCGGGCAGTGACAAGCGCCACACTAAATGTTTCCACAAAGGCATACTATTAAACCCACTAAACTCCAGCAGAGATGGGCAAATAGGACATTAAAGGACTAGGAAGAGAATTACACATTTTGCCGAGGTGCGCAATTAGAACAAATGCCAAAAAGTAAAGTAATTGCAGCAAGCTCGAAACGCATTAAGCAATGTGAAACTTGCGCTTAGCGTTTAAGCCATTCCAGTCAGGCAAGTTAAATTTAGGAAAACGAATAAACAAGCTTCGTCACAGCAGCTCTGCCGCAAGAAAATTGAATATGTAAACATTCCCATTTCAGGCAGCCATAGGCTTCAGGCGTACAATGCCAGGATTGGTTGACAAGCAAGCCATCAGGACAAATAATTTGGTCTCACCATTCTGGACAACCCAATTATCCGTTCCAAAACAGCACCACCGCAACTTTCGGTTCAAGTCACGCTAGATCGTTAAGGAGCCCGATCTACTGCATAGATGGCATGCAGCATCGGCTGCTAAGCGGCACTTAAGAAGAAGTCACCCCCATTGGATCTTTAAAAAAAAAAAGAGGTTAAAGCACGCGCTCTACTTCATTGACAAGAGTTGAGCATCGGCTGCAAAGCGCCACCCCAAGAAGAATAAGAAGTCACCCTCATGGAGGAGCTGCTGCAGTTGACAGTGGTGAGACCCACGCCGTAGGAGTAGAGGAGCGCGTCTGGGTCTGTCGCGTCGCCGGAGCGATCCCAGCGCAGAACTGGAAGAGCCACAGACACAGCACGCGCGGCTTCAGATCGTAGGGGAAGGAGCAGCAGCAGCCGCTGCCAGCGTGACCCGGGTGGAGGGCACGACGCCAGCACAAGTCCATGTTATTTCGCTGCCGGGGATGAGTGACTGTCCGCGTAAGTTGGAGCATATCGCACCACGCTCGAGCTTAGCACTTTGGCGATGGGGGGGGGCGGGGTAAAACGTCTACACCGCGACATGGATTTTTTTAAAATAAGAAATTCGATTTAAAAAAAATTTGCACGGGATGTTTCCGTTCGAGGGTTGGCAGAGTAATTTTTCACGAATTACCGAAGAATGTCAATCATTTTAAGAACCGGAAAACAGTCCAATAGGATGTTCGTTAATAAATCTGTGTTACAAAGCGGTCCTTTAGAGGCACGTGCAGCTAGAGCCGCAGGCCCCACCCCCCCCGGTATTTTAAGCAAATCATTCGGCCGCGACAATTACGGTGCCACAAAATTGTAATACATTTTAGGTTTGTTTCAAATATTCGCGGTGCTGAAACATGAACATGCACCGGTTAAAAAAAAAATCATAAAATATTCCGTAAGTCAGTTAGCACGCAAATATTAAAAGTATAAAAACATTAACCCGTAAAAACAGTTTTTCACTATAAATCCTTTATATTCGTGGCGGCTAGAGTTCTCTCGTCCTCTGGCTTGAGATGGCTGCCACCTATGGGTCAGATGATTGCCTGCCACCGTTAAGCAATTGGTAATTAAATACTATTAATTTTTTCCTAAAGTGTAAAATTTTGGAATTTTTTTCACGAAAATAAATTGTCACGCACAACGAGTGTGCACAATGTCAGCTCGATTGGATCACGGGAAGTGGGTTAAAAAGCGACCGAAAGATTTGCACGGTCATAAGCGCGCAAGCAATGCAAACTTAATATAAAGGATTTAAAAATGAGCAATGTCTGCGACACGTGGCACAGCGAAGTACCGTACGGAGCTGTGCTAATCGGGATACTCACGGCCGCTGCGGGCGCGCGTGTGCTTGGAGTGCTCATAGCGGCCCTTGACTGGTCCAGCTGCAGAGGAGCCGTCAGTCCATAGCAGGAGGCTGCGGCCACACGGTTAGTCCACTCGCATTACAGAAGACAGACCCCCCCCCCCCTCCCCCAGCATTGCCGTAGACTGTTGGGGCAAGCGCTGCTAGAGAGAGCACTAAATGACAGGAGCGGGTGGCCAGCACCACGCCCGGCCGTCTTTGTTTCCCACGTGGCAAGGTTTACACCGCACCAAGTACTCCAGATAGAGGCGACGTAAATACACGGAGCAGCCATGCATCAGTGGAGTATGGATCGGCGTAAGGCACTACCTCGAGTACAAGGCACACCTAACCACACGAATCAAATACGCCACTAGAGTTTCATGAAATAACATCGGACAGGTGAATTATTTTATGAGCGAGGGAAAAAAAAAAAAAACGGCGTGTACAACAACAATTGCCGGGGGAACAAGAATACCAAGGCGGTTCCGACTTTAAACTCGGCAGCAGACAATACCTGCACAGTGCAAGCAACGCAGACTTCATCGCGATCCCCGATGTCGAGAGAGTCCCACAAAAGCAGCCACCGCCGCCTCTCCTCTCTGCAGTTGTAGCGGCAACGGGCTCAGGCGGCACCGCGGACGACCGAGAGAGACGGACCTGAAAAGGCAGGACCGGCGCAAAGACGCAGACCCGTGGGGTGCGGGTGATACAGGAGACTGGGACGTGCCCCGCGGTTTAAATAGCGAGAGGGACCGAGGCCATCCCACGCCCACAAACACCCACAACCGCAGAGCAATCTTCGTCCGCGATGAGCTGATCATCTTAACGAGCGGAAACACGTGCGGGCAATTGTGACGTCGACGTGAGCCGAGCGATCCATTGACGGCAGCGTCTCTCCCCCCTGATATCTTTCCCATATAGAAGGGAAATAATAAAATAATAAAATTGAAACATAATAATGTGTGAGAATTATTGAATTATGTGTTTTTATTATTTCCCTTCTACGTGACTTTACCGAAAGAACCACGAAGATGAATCCCTGCAGTCACGCAAGCTTAAATCGAAATTTATCCCTTAATCACTCAATTCGCGAGGCGTGCGTTTTCTTCCCATTTGTCAATTTACCACCGCCACTACCACCCGCTCCCGTTCAAATCGAGGCTTTGAAGTTGACGTTGTTTAAGCCAGGTGAAGGCAACTCAGGAGGCAATGGAATAATAAAAATATGATTCGCAAAGCGTGACCTGGTTCTCCAAAATAACAAAGAGCGTTATTTATTTTTGCATTTACGTTGGACTTCTTCCGTACGGTGCGAAAGAAGTTTACCATACATATAAGGTATGCTCTTGTTATTTTGGAACACCAGGTCACGCTTGCGAATTATACTTTATTCTTATAACGTAAAGTTGGCCCACAGCTACGAAGTGAATAGATATTCGGAGCTAAGACTTCACTGTCACTGAGAATTCGAGATCCCGTGACAAAATGCATACCTCGGATTACAAAACGCGTTGACAAACACCGCGAGACTTTCACGTAAAAAAACGAACGAATCTCAATTGCTCATTACAATTAGCGATCGTTGCAAACCACAGCAGCCATTTACAATGAGGTCGTTTTTAATTACTCGGATAACGTCTGTTGATTGACACGACTCTGCACTGGCAATTGCGTGAGCGGGCATTTGTGCCATCCGTTGATTTTACAACTGATTATGCTCGGAAATATCTGACGCAGAATACAAATTTGCAAATCCGAACCAGACAAAGTCGATCCGTTGGTTGTGGTGCAGGTGAACGCGCAGATGAGTGCGTGTGATCGCGCAGCCGCCCGCACGCGTTTCTGCTTAGGAGGTGATCAGCTCATCACGTGTTTGGTGGCGTGGGATGGCTTCGCCCCCTCTCTACTTAAACCTGGCCACGGGTACCTTGGAGCTTGTAACGCCTGCGCTCCCGACTGTGGGAATGTGGGATTAGTCTTTGGCCGCTGTCTGGTCTCCGTGTGTCGCTCTCGCTTTTTCACTTTCTCGGTTCCCTCGAGTTTCTTCCCCCCGTGCTTGAGCAACTGGAGCAGCACGGGGAGACGAATCTGCTTTTGGAACTCTCGCAGCATGGCGAGGACTGTGATGAATGCTGCTGCGCTTGCGTTGTGCAGGTAATTGTCGGTGCTGGGTTTGGGCCGGAGGGGGAGGACGAGGATTTGTGCCAGTAGATGTATCCTGGGCTCGGCCACATCCCTACTCGCTGTATTTGGGCATTTTTTTTTAAACCTTTATATTGTAGAGGTATTGTATGTATCGGTGTAGGATGGCTCTGGCTAGACGGGACTGTTGTAATCTACTGGTAGTACCTTACGCAGATCTTTTCCCACCCACCCACTAACAGCCAGGGTGCCAACTCTCTGATAAATATCGATGGGGTGGGGGGGGGGACTTAAGCCGCGTATTTGCGTTCGTTACTTTATCGTGAACAAATTGTCTCTAGAATAGTATTATAGGTTCCCTAACAACCTGACAGATATGTTCACTTCGCGCCCCTCCCCCCCCCCCCCCCCCGGCGATAGAAGAGTGCCTCTGCTGTACAGCTTCTGGATGTGGTGCTGAGGGGGGGGGGGGGTGCTTTTAATTTTAACTGCCACTAAGCAAGTCGAGTGGTAACAATTGACTTGGTGGACGTGCCCAATACGTGACCCTGAAACCAGTCGGATCGTGCGTCTTGTAGCCGGGTCTCCATCCCTTGCCCTGTGGCGGTCCACGTCTGACCTGTGCCACCCATGTGGTGGAGCGGTAATATGCGAGGGAAGAGGTAATATGCGAGGGAAGTGTCCATGTGACCTGTCTGGCATGAGCTGGTACGTGACCGCGCGTGGTGTGTAATAAGAGTGCTCAGTGGCTGGCGTGCTACGCATCCCGACTACCCACGGTTCGATTCTGGCTGGCGGCCAACATCTGTGAGAACTACGTGAACCAGTCTTCCCCTAGGTTGCCTCTGCCTCCAAATGAGTACTTAGTGTGATGTGTAAACATCGCCATTAGGGAGACAAAGCGGCCGGGCGTGGTGCTGGCTACCCACTCCATCGTGTGCCGTTCCGGCCTTCATAGGCGCTACTCGCTAACACAACTTACTCCTACAGTCTAATTCGAGCTACTGGGGGTGGTGGGGGGGGGGAGATCTGTCTGGTAATGAGAGTGAATTGCCTGTGGTCGCAGCCTCGTGCTGTGGACTTGCAACTTCTCCGCAGCGGAGGGAGTCGGAAGACGTCGCTCCGAGCACGCCAAGCGCAGCAGTGAGTAACACCCGACTCTGCGGCAGAGGGCACCGCGGCGATCAGCATTGTTCAACTACGCCATACCACCCAGGCGTTTTAAGTTTGCGCGACTGGCATGACATGAAATATTTATAATTAATTGTGCATCTTCATTCAGAATTTTTGCTATATTCAAGGACTTTCATTAGTATCCTTGTAGTGGCTATATAGCGGCATCCAGTGGCTGCATGGTGTACCTTAAACCACTGCACACATCGTTCACGATTTTTTAAAAAGTAACTACACCTGTGTCTGCTCGTGGAGTCCCCGCCAACGCCACAGCCCAGCGTGGTGAAGTATGCTCTAATTAATCCTCGCACTCTGTGCGACGAGTCCATTCCGCCCAGTCCGTACGTCCATCCAGCAGCGGATTAACTGGGGCTGTGTCGGTTGTGCCCTCTGCCACCCGGCGCGGTGGCTGCGACTTTTGTTGCCGTCTCTCCACCGAATGGTGCCGTGCGTTTTGTGATTTTATTTTTGCGTTTCTAGTTCCGCGCTGGGATCGCTCTGGCGCGATGGACCCAGACTCCCTCCTCTACTCGTACGGCGTGGGTCTCACCACCGTCGAATGCAGCAACGCCTCCATGAGGGTGACTTCTTATTATTCTTGAGTGGCACTTGGCAGCCGATTTGCTGAACTCCATCCTAATGCCGTGGCTCTTGCTCTAACTTTTTAAAAAGATGATCCAAAGTGAATTGAACCGATGGTAACGTATTTTCGAGCCACGCTTCCCAACAGATTTTGCTGAACGCCCGCTGTGTAATCATTCCTTGCTCTAACGTGGAAATGCCATAACTCTCGTGACAATAATACCACGGATTTTTTTTATTATTAACTTGTGGTGATTTCGACTTGTAACGCACATTCGTTCCTACTCCGAAAACTCAGAAGCTCTCCGAACCGCGGACGAGCAACCAGGCGGGCACGTGGTGAGGCTTCTAGCAACTGCCCAAGCTCTGCGGTTCTCTAATTTATACAATGTAATGTCTGCATATGGAAGGAAACTGCAGCACTATGCGAACAACTGTGCTGTTAGCAAGTGTCCAAGGTGGTGGAATTTACATTTTTACCGAAGCGCCTTTAATTCACTTTTTTTAAGGTGACTGTGTCAAGGATTCTACCAGCCTTCTCTGCTAGCACGGTAACCGAGCCATCCTTGCCAATCCATTGGCTAACACATCGCACACACGTCAATGTAGAGACTGTGAAATGACTTGTCAGCCCATCTTTTGGTCTGTCTTCTAAACAAAGTACCACTTGCTGCTTGTATAATGGTCCCAAAGTAATCGACCACGTGAAATTTGTTTTAATTTGCAATATGAAATGTACAGACACTTGATGACCAATCGTACCAGCTTTGCTACCGACTCCAGAGAGCTCTGCCCCCTAAAAGAAGCTACAAGGCGTTCTTTTAGGGCTCTGTTTTTTTTACATTAAGATGATGGGGCCTGCGTTCTAACCCTGTCCCTCGGACCACAATTGATACCTCTCCAATCTCCCTTTCCCCGTGCACGCACAGCTCCACGACAAGCGGCCCATGTCGTGGTACCTGGACATCGACAACGGCACGGCGCAGTGGAGCGTACCCGTGGCGTATGCGAGCCAGGCCGGCTACACGTTCGAGTCCCAGGAACTGACCCTGGCGGTGACGGCGCTGTACACGGCCAATGGGGTGTTCTACTCCCAGGTGATCCCACCCTTGCCCTCTCGTGACCTCCGTCTCTAGAGACACGGACCAGGCGGTGTCCACGGCTTTTGGGATTCGCTTGTGGACATGCAGTGTCCGCTTAATGCGCTCCGCCTGGGTCTGCGTAGGTCTTGGTTTTCTTGTTTGTTTAGGTTGGAATGTTGTGCTTTATCAGACGGCCCCCTTCCCTTCCAACTTGCTAGAAGCCTGGCTTTGAGGTTTTGCTGAAATATTTTCTTTTGTCGCACAACTGACCTGCATCGAGCATGAGAATGAGATGTGGCGTTGCATGCATGGTCTCCAGCACAAGTAGCCTCTGTACATCAGATTACTTGACTGCTATAAATTTCCACGTGATAAGCCACTTCGTTGAGCTATAATTTGTGGCCAGGTCGCTTCTGAAAGACTAACTTGGTGGGCTTTACCTGGCAAAATAAAATTTCCTATGCTTTCCACAATTTTTGTGTTTTGGAATGTTGCGACCTGTCCCAACTGGCCATCTGAAAAGTAACTTTTATAGCTCCCTCGGATTCCTCCACCAAAAAAAATCTTGTTTCTGGTCGTCGCGTGGACTCTGCGTGCAGTTGGAGGACACGTCCCTCTACTTCCTGGACCTGCAGCTGCGCTACGGCCCCAGCAGCACGGTCATCTCCCTGCTCACCCCCATGCTGTGCCTGGTGCCAAGTGAGGAACCCCACACTGGCGTGCCTTTATCACATTCTGGGTGATGGTGTTTCAATTGACACGCCGCGGCGATGAAATGGTAGTGTAGTTGCGCGCGCTTGCTGTTTAGCTGTGCAGCCACCCTCCATGCTTCAACTGACGCTTTGCGTAAACCATCCTACGTTTAAGGACTTTGGAGACGATTGGTCACTTCAGTTTCTCCTGAGGGTAGCTCAATGGGCCATGCTCGTCGTACAAAGCTGCATTGGGAGATCCGGATTGATACTGCATCTGGAGCCATGACGCTGGCACGGTTGGCATAAAATGAAGAAACCCGAAATGGACGAAGGTCCCCAATTGACACCATCTCTACCCGCCCCCCCCCCCCCCCCTTGCACGTCGCTCGTGCTCCCTGTCCAGACTACCTGCAGTGCAACGACACGAGCCTGGTGGTGACGGTGCCTCCGCTGCCCGGCCCCCTGACTGCGGTGAAGGTGGGCACCACCCTGGTGTACCCGGGCCTGCCCTCTGTGCCGGGGGTCGAGGTGCGGCTGGAGGGCAGCGGCGGCCTCTGGGGGTTCGTGCTCTCGCTGCAGCGTACGTCGCCGCTCCTCAACGTGGAGGTGAGGGAGGAGGTGCCGGAGCTGGTGGGCTCGTGTGTGGAGGGGTGGGGGGGTGAGACTGGACTCGAGCGTGGTAGTAGGTTGGTGCACCAGGCTTGCCTGCGATTTCATTCCCAGCCATGGCTAATATGACGTGGTGAGTATCTGATATGGGCCATTCACGTCGGGTTCGCCCGACACTTTTTAATGAAATCTCTGGAAATTATTTTTTCAAATAAACGCTGCACCGTGGAGACGGACGGCTTGGTGAACCGAGCTGCTGGCCAAGTCGGTCTCCATGTGCTTGCCAACAGCCGATGCTCTCGCAGTCATGCACAGCAGGGGAGGTGCCCTTCCCGTTGTGGGTATGCGCGACTGTCTGGGGCGCTGGGCTTGTCATCCTGTATCTGACAATTTGCACCATACGTAGTCAGCCGTCCTAATCAGCGGTGCCATTGCCTGGTCTCTATTTCCCTCTGCTGCCCGATCGCATGTCCAGCTGTGCTCCATGGGCCAGTGGAGCGGTGTGCGTCACTTCGCCGACATGACCGTGACGTTCACGCACGCATCTCGGCCGCTCGCCTTCCCGCTGCGACTGCAGCTGTCCGTGCGTCGCGGTGCAGGACGACGCCGGCGGTGAGTGTGAACCGACTGGTGAGCATCGCTGGGCAGCGTCTAGAGGGATTTGTGTGCAGCCCAGGGGCATGTTGGGTACTCGAGGCCCGGGTGTAGATGGTTTCCCTACGTAGTCCCTGCTCGTGTTTTGAGTGCCTCGTGCGTGGCAGTTTTTATGTTTGTCGTAATAACTTTAAAACAATACCTCTTTAGTGGTTGCGTGACAGCCAGAATCTTA